GTTCTCTCCGAAATATTCACACTTAAATGACTAGTGCCAGGTAAATTTGCCCCCAAGAAAATGCAATGCATGTTCAGCGAAAATTTAATTTTTGAAGGTATAACATTACTACCACGTAATTTAAATTCACGTCGAAAAACTCCCAGACCCTCGGAACGTTGCCACCTAGAAATTCGTCTCTACAAAATTCACTCGCCAGAACTGGCTCTCGAAATATTTACCCGTAAACATACAACCCAGGAAAATTCAAGGCAGGTTAATAATCTCCCTGAAAAACCTTATGCTGAGCACGCTCCCAGAAAATTTGCACGCTAGAATTCGTCCTCGAAATCTCTACTCCCTTGAAAATTCACTCCGGTAGAGTATTCTTCAAGTTTCTAATTATAAGTGTGCGCCCCGAATATTCACCACCAGGAGGACTCGCTGCCAGGGAAATTCGCCCCTAGACTCCATAATTGACGTTTTGAAAAAAATGCAAACGGACCTTTGGAATTCGGAAATTCCAATAACAAACGCAGCGATTTCTACAATAAATATGTTGTTTTGTTAACACCACAAATACAAGGAATCCGTCCTGTGCGTCAATTATGTTGGAAAGTGGTCCAAATTTCCCTGACAAGTTTCTGTTTTGGTGTGAGGAACCTGTGAAACAGTCCAGGGGACACTTTGTTCATTCCCAAATCGTCGTGTAAAATTCTTTCGTCCCGAATGTTACTTGATTTTGTCATGGATTATTCTCACCATGGATCATTTTTAGACCTGTACCCTCCTGGGTTCAAGGTTCATTTTTCAACATTTAACCGCTAACAAAATTACAAAAATCCTTGTGTACGCTAACTATAAATGCTAAGTGCTGGTGCCTTGTACTAACAAAAATCAATTACTTACGCGCCCAGTGAAAAGGATCCGTGGAAAATGCAAAAATTCACGAAGAAAAATGAAGTAGACAACTTTTCAGAGTTTATAATCTGACCTAAAGTGTAAATGACTGTGAATTTCATACCACCTGAAGACAGAAGAAGTCACATTTTTCAGAATTCGATGTTTTTCACTTTCATTTATTTAGAAATTCTTTGGGAATAAGTTAAAAAAAAAACAATAATATCAATACGGGCTCAACTCGAGCTTTATTTCGAATTTGTTTACGGAAAATGAATTGGCCTTCGTCGTTTTAATGACCTAAACAATGTAACAAAAGCTGTATCTAAGGATCGATACAATAATGGAGATGTTAATATAATCAATACCTACACAAGAGAACTGCTTCAGGGACCGCTATCTGAAGAACTTCGAGCACTTTCCAAACAAAAATCTACCCAACAGTTTACTTACTCAATCCGCGGTTTTGTTTACATTAATAATTTACCCTTGATTCACTAATTAAATCATAATTTAATTTTGAATTTGAATGAATGAATTTTGTTTTGAGTCTTGGGTGATTTTTTATAGGACGTATTCGCAACTTTTGTTCAACTTTCTACTTTCTCAATCAAATTTTACGCATAGGGATCTTTATGAATTAGTTATAAAAAAAGTATGTAACCAGACAAGTGTATTAGAAATCGTCTTTTTCCCGTCAATCTGCGGGAATTCGTCCTTTGCCAACATTTATTAGAAAACGTCCCCTTCTGGTAGATCTGCGGCATTATTCGTTTTTGCTAAATTTTAAATACAACGTAATAGGTTTAGAGTTACATACTCCTCGAATTTGTAACGCAAATCCGCAATGAAATGGAGTTTTCTATTCCATGCCTGGATTCTATCAATAAAATGTTCAAATAGATTCCCGAAATGAAAGCAAAATCATTTATTGAGAAACGGATCTTTTCCCTTTTTACTTGAATCTTTGAATTTAGTTTGAGTGCAAATCCGTGGTTAAAATAATATCAAACAAAGGGGTTAGCTGCTCAGTCACCACAACAGACTCAATAATAGCAAGATACTTATTACCAAGCTTGTGCAGCGTTCATACTGGGGAACTGTATGGAATATTAATGGCGCTTGAAACAATTACGGGAGACAGTAAAATCGTCACTGTATGTACTGATTCTCTTTCTGCAATTCGCTCCATAGAAAACATATATACTAAAAATTTCTTAGCACAAAAGTACACGACCGCTATCATCAGCTTGCTGCCAGAAACGTTTTAGTAAATATTGTCTGGTCACCCTCCCACGTTGGCATAAGTGGAAACGAAAGTGCTGATCGGGCTGCAAAAGAATCCCTAAACATGGACCTGACTACTGAGCAAATGCAGCTACATACTGACCTGCAGAGCTGCCTAAGAGAGTCAATCATCAGTAAGTGGCAAAATGCTTGGAGCTTTTCCAACACCAAGTTATCCGAAATTCAGCCTACAATAATGACCACTAATCTACCCTCAATGAATAGGAAAAATACAGTCATAATTCGAAGGTTGAGGATTGGTCACACAAGGAAAACCCATGGATACCTTTTTGAAAATCAAGACCCTCCATATTGTGAATGCAACGAGCCTTTGTCCGTGAACCACTTCCTCTCACAGTGTCCACTGCAACTGGAAATCCGAAGCAAGTACCATATTGGAATGGACCTTAAAAAAGACCTCTCATTACCGAAAAGTATTATAAACGTACTAAACTTTCTAAGAGATACAAACTTGTACAACTTTATATAATAGTCTAATAAGCGAAATATTATTAGAATACGTGCATTGTAAGTAAAGGTACTTGTAGACGTGCCAATGGCCACTAGTAGTCGAGGCACACAAATTAAATTTAAAAAAAAAAAAATTCTAACGTGATCTTTACGAAAATATTTTATTTTTGATGTTATTTGTGTAAGAAATGGCTGGATAGGAGGTGACTAAATGCTACTCTCTTTCAAATTGTAGAGTCCGGGTGAAATTTCGAAAATAGCGAAAAGTTGGAGGTTGTGATCGTTCTTACTGACCAGGAAATTTGCAACTTTTTAATTAGGACCGCAGCCACAAATTTCACAGATAGACAAAAAGAAAAAGTCTCTTTTCAACAGTGTATACTTATTTCAATTAATGCAAAAATGTTCCTTTGCAAAATATGATGAGTTTAAGTTTAACTCTGCCTTAAAATGGTTTATCTTAATTAAACCCAGGGTAGGGATGATTTTTCACACAGCGTGGACAAAACGCTGTATTAATTTTGTTGAAATCACGCCGTGGGTGGATGCGTATCCGCTACCATTTGTACCAACTGATTACCCCCTTGCTGGTGAAGGAGTCACTGGAATCTTAAGGTTTTTTTAATTTCTCTTCGGCTTCTGGTCGTTTGACTCTTATCTGCCAATATTGCGATATCTTTGCCACTTTTTCGTATCGCAAAAGTTGTTAGGCTCCGCTTTATTACAGAGTACCCTTTTTACGGAGTTTGCAATGGTTTTTTAAGTGTGTCAATTCTGATGAATTTGTCGTTCCGTATTGTGGTTCGAACGAATTGGCTCTTACTGATGTATTCTCGTATGTTGTCGGTTCCATTTGCTCTTGTGGTTGTTTGTCTCTGAGCAGCTCGCCTGGGAGTTTGACGTTTGGTCCGTACACAATTTCTGCTATTGTTGCTTGGGTGTCTTCTTTCCATGCATGTCAAAATGTATAATGGGAAATGCTTGTATCCAATTGTTGGTGTTGTGACACTTAAGCTGTGATGCGTATCAGCTACCATATGTACCACCACAATCCTAAGGTATTAATTTTGCGTATTGCCACTAAATGTCACATTAAGTTTCTCTACGAGCCATAATTTTTGGAAATTACGATTCCCTCTCGAAATGGTTTAACTTTGAAAAGGAACCTCAACGACAAAAACGCAAATGCTTCCATTCTCGGGACCAAATGGTCGCTTTTAATGACAAAACACGAATTGTTCTTTCATAGAGGATCGTACTTGTTCACCGCGAATGGCCAAATGCGAATTCTCCTAATTTTTCTAAAGCGACTCCCCCTTTATTGAGTAAAATTTTGAACGCCCGAAGTAAGGAATTATTAATTAAAATGGCGATGTCTAAATTTTCATTGGTTAGTGTCTTTCTTACTACCAATCACAGATGATTTTAAGGTTGTTAATTCCAAAACCAACGCGATCAGCAGCTTTCACTAATCTAATACAATATCCCCGTTAAAAAAGACGGAAATCGCCGCTATCTTGAAAAGGACTACTTAGAATTATCGTTGAGCTCAATTATCCAGATAAATTCTGAGGGAAAAAATTTAAATCCAAACTCTTTACAACAGCGGCGATTGTCCATACGTAAATGCGAGATTCAGAACGAAATAGCAGTTGATTAATCACTTCAGGTGGTTAAATAAAAGCAACACAAAGGTTTGGGTGGTGGATTAGCACGTAACTACGTTAAAATGCACGCCCATGTAATTTGAATACAATGTGTTTCGTTAGCAATATTTGACTTTTCCGTGAAACGAAAAATCAAATATTTTGCAATAGCACTCTATTGAACATTTGATTACACACGGTATATCTCCTTTCACAATTATTTGAAAGGTATTTTTTGGATTATCGCCTGAAAGCTTAACCGGAGATGAAGTGTAACTAACTTCCTTGCTTGTGTATACTATCCAAAGCAAGAAATAGGTATTTATTCGCAAAATATATTTACGATCAGAATGTAGTAGAAGGAATCTGTAGTTTGTTTCGTAGTTGACAGAGCGAGTAATAAAAGTTATCTAGGCGTCTTTCCTCAAAACATACTTATCGATCGAAGAGGCAAAACTAATGACGCGGCCTTACAGGTTACTTCAGCTAGGAGTAGTTATAATTATAATAAAGTGCCGATGCCTCCCTACACTTTTATAAACGGGGAAACCATATGTTTTTCTCTAAAAATCATTTACAATCCATGCAGGCGTCGTCGTCGAAACCCTGCGCATTCTCTAAAAGGCGGCGTCATTAGTACTAGTCTCGATTCATTCATAAATCGCTTCACCATTTAGGTCAAAAGTTTGAGCAAATACTGACGAATTAATTTTGCAGGGTATCGTGGGGGCCTAGGCGCGAGGAGACATGTTCGACGTCTCTGATCTTTCCGAAGAAGAGCGCAGCTTATTCCGTCCATTCACACGCGAGTCGCTTGCAACCATTGAGGCTCGCATCGCCGAGGAATATGCGAAGCAGAAGGAGCTCGAAAAGAAAAGAGTTGAAGGAGAGGTAACATCTGAGACCGTTTTATCATCATATACTACAAATGTCCACTTTTCAACCCTATGTCAAAATTTTTCGAGTCAGAAACGCGTAAAATTTATGACAGATTACCATACAAGAAGAAACTGTGTATAAAATTTCCAATATGAAACCGTTGACATTTAAAACACTCTAAACTCCCAAAACATTTTTAGTAACACAGTAAATCTGTCTTTCACCTGAATGAACAGTAAGTATATATCTTGGAATCAGTAGCCACTATTGCCTTTTTTCTGAGAATTTTAATTTTTCTTGTAAATATTTCTTCTTTTTTACAGGTCTGTTACATATGTAACATAAAGCCATGCTTAATTCTGCATGTATATGTATTTAACATGTAAACTAATCCAAAATATAAATGATCCCGATAACACCATTTCATGAACAATAAGGCTATATTTACCCTGGAATTGGCGGTCATTTTTACATCGATGTCGGTTACAAATTTGCAGTCTGCATTTAAAATGGTGTCGCTTGACGTTTTCAGTTGTTTTTTTGTATTATACGTGAATGACTGTAAAAGTAATTAACCGTGGAAAACTTTTACATTGTTCACGTTGTAGAAGGAAAGCGTAAAAAATGTACCTACTTTTACACTTTCGTTTAATATATAAAAAAGAAGGAATACGAACTTTTTTATTTTAGAAATGTGTCAGTAGAATAGACAGCGATGTTTGCTTATCGATGTTAAAACTAAACTTTATTGCAGACCAGTTTTGGACGAAGGAAAAAGAAAAAAGAAGTAAGATTTTCTAATAAAGAAAGCTCAGAAAGCCACTCGCTTTTTAGCTCAATGATGCTTCTGACGATTACTTTGAAAAATCGTATGTAATCGTTCGATTTTTGACGATTTTTATAAAATCGTCAGCTGCATTACATTTTTGCAACAACTTAAGTTTGTACGATGCTTATTTGGTATTTTCTATGCTGGCATTACGTTATCATCTTGCTATCCTTGTGAGCCAGTAAAGGAAAAACTGAATTCAAGTGGCACTTTAGTATTGCGGTAGATGAAAACGCCTTCGCAAACTTAAAAAATCGAAGCTTATGGAAGAATCTGAGAAATTCCAATTGGAAGACTGGGCTCTTTGCATTTCACATTTTCCGCCAATCTAAATTATTCAACGCTCATTTGAAAAATACGTTTTATTTTCGAGATTATATTTAATGATTAATGTAGGTAGCCAATACACTACCGTATTTATAATTCCAATACAGGGTAGGTAGGTACATTTGCGTCACGTAAATCACACAATCAATATCCGACTGTTTTCAACTAAATTTTTCAGATTCGTCTATAAATGAAGGCGGTTAGTAGTTGCAATAAGTAATTAACTCAATTAGATAAATTAAATCTCGCCATTACTAATTGCAAACAAGTAGAATTTAATTAAAAGCATTACTTTTGCGAAGGCTTACGTTAATGAAACACTAGCTGCAGCAGTGCTTTATAGTGATGACTGCCATATTATGGGTAGATAGCCACTTATACACTTTTTGAAGAAAACACACTGAATATTTGCTATAAGTTTCGATCGATTGAAAGCTAATTTATAGCAAATTATTCCACAAGTCAAAGAGTTTTGCACTTCACTGTATTGATTGATTGTACCTAATCATAGCAATTTTATGTAAACAGTACCAACATGAAACACCAGTTTTCTATTTAATTAAAAATGCATGCGTCTGTTCTGAATTTTCCAAGCTTGCTTTCTTCCTTTTTTATTTTATCATCTGATAAACGCCGAGTTAAAAATGTCTACTTTAATCAAGAACAAGTGAATGTGAGCACGTACATGACAGAACCAAGCAGTATTGAATTCAGACATTTTCCGGGAGGAAAAATTTTATGGGGACATTACCAAATCCTCGCCTGAATTCAACACTGGAGCTAAGTGAAGATCGTCGTGTATTTGCTCACTGGTACTGTTCTTGCCTATTCTCTATTCCTTTCTTTCTCTTCAGCTGAAAAGTTTGTATGCGCAAAAATGCAAAAAAACTCAAAAACATTGGCGACTCTACATACGGCGAATCCCCACCTTTATTTACTATGTTAACGCTTCATTTTATTTCGTTGTTAAAAACGTGTTTGTCACAATTATAGCCTTTGGAATATCCATTCAACTTAAAAACACCATGCGGTTTATAGAACACAAATCAAAACGCCAAATAATTCGATCGAGATTAAAGATTTAACCTTTCTAAACAGATTCGGTATGAGGACGAGGACGAAGATGAAGGCCCCCAACCTGATCAAAGTCTGGAACAGGGACTACCTTTACCTGTACGACTTCATGGCAGTTTCCCCCCAGAACTGTCAAGTACACCACTTGAAGACATCGACCCTTTCTACAGTAATCAAAGGGTAAGACGTTAGATTGGTTAATTTCACTAACTAGATTATCTTTATCTTGGGGTACCGTAACATCCACAGTAACAGTACATTTTCTTGGTGCTTGTATTGATAATTAGAGTGGGTGTGGCCTCTTAGGAGAGTAACTTTCGCATTAAAAAGAACGACAACCGATATGCAGTAGCGCCTTTTAAACACCTTGCCAACTGCCAATTGTGCCGATTTACATTGTTAACAATTAAATACAGAAGTGAGAGGGAGGTTTAGTTTTCTATTGTCAATTTACCTCACACCAATCGAATTCAACCAACTCACAGTTGCGTAACAATTGAGTCAAATCAAATGACCCCCTAGGGTCAAACCGAGGTGCTCTCCCAATTTTTTTAGATCCGCTTTAGGGGTTTCTTAATGATGTTTTTAGTTTACGCTTGACAAATAGAAACTCAAAAATGGGAAATATATCGGTATTTATGAGCTTTATTAACCGCAAAATTTGAGCGCTCGTCATTGTCATTAGGGAGAGAGCCACGAAATCAGTAAAGGTAATGGCGTACAAACAGAGCATGTAACCAATATGACGGAAGGATCTTCCCTGCGCGAGAAATACCACTCGCAAGCAAGATAAAAGGGGATAGAATTAGAAGTACCATGGAAAACATCTGCACGACCTCCGCCTGCGAAACAAAGAACCATTGTAATAAAAAATATAACTCTTAGACGACCTCTAACGGCAAAACAAAGAACTAAGTAAAATATCTCTACTACAAGAATATTTTGTATTTAAACTAATGAATTCCTGACCTTCAGGGTTATTCTGAAGAAACTTGAGACATTTTCAATTTTAAAACTTATTCAATAAGCCATGATTGAATTGTATTCGATTATGCAATAAAACGATATTCAGCAGCACGTCTTAAAAAACTTGAAAAGTCAATTGTTCTGCAGATAGCTGCACGTGCATCAAAGCAACTCACTCGATAACCCAAAAATACTCACAGACGCTTGGACAGTACCAATAGAAAAATGTCCCATTAGATTTTTAGTAGTTTAGTTGATATGGCCCTCGTAGTCATTTGCGCTTTAACAAAAGGGTATTAAATTCTGAAATTCTTGCACTATCCTAAGAGGCCCTAATGACGATTTATCCGAATGCTGTCTAGCGTAACACGAATTCCTATACTATTTTCTTGTTTTAGACTTTTATAGTGATCAGCAAAGGAAAGGACATATTCAGATTTAGTGCAACAAATGCAATGTGGATACTCGATCCATTCAATCCTATCCGTCGAGTAGCCATTTATATCCTAGTTCATCAACTTTTTTCTCTCTTCATTATCACAACCATTCTTGTTAATTGTATACTCATGATTATGCCCACCACACCCACCGTAGAATCTACTGAGTAAGTGTACGAGTTTTTCGCCTAAATGTATTATCGACTGTGTAATTATAGAGTGATATTTACCGGTATCTACACGTTCGAGTCTGCTGTGAAGGTGATGGCTAGAGGTTTTATTCTTCAACCATTCACCTACCTTAGAGATGCATGGAACTGGCTCGACTTCGTAGTCATAGCTTTAGCGTGAGTAGATTAGAAATTAGAACTTTTAACTATAGAAGTAGTTAACAACATTTTCTTACAATTTCCAAGTTTAAATTTTTAGTTATAATCTATTAAGTATTAAAAACAAGATTTCCACGACTATATTGACCGTAGGTACGTTTTCCTGGTCTGGGTTGTGGGAGGGCGGGAGGGAGGAGGGGCACTTCCATCGATCTCTTTTTGTTTAATTGTCAAATAGGTTTTTTATTTGATCTTAAAATCCAATTTAACAAGTGAGTTAATTTGTTGTACTATATACAGTAGTAGTTTCAAATGTAGAACAGAACTGTTGAGCCATTTTTCGTACTATGTAACTAGAACCTAAAAATTTAAATTAGTTTACTAGTAATAGAAATAATGAGATAGTTGTTTTAATTGGATATTAGTAGATGTTAATAGTCCTCATTTTTTAATATAAAAAAGATGCATCATGCTCATTGAATTGCAGTGTTTGTAACTATGTATAAAATGAATGCTTTTAGAACAAATTTGGTAGCGACAGAATAATAGATCTATACATTTATAAAACAATTGAAAAGTATCTATGTATGAATTTTGCAGTTATGTTACAATGGGTATAGACCTTGGAAACCTTGCTGCCTTGAGAACTTTTAGAGTGTTACGTGCTCTAAAAACCGTTGCCATAGTGCCAGGTACGCCAAAAACACAATATGACAAACAAGCACGAACACGTGATAATTTTAGGTTTAAAGACTATCGTCGGAGCAGTTATTGAATCTGTGAAAAATCTTCGCGATGTGATAATTTTAACGATGTTTTCCTTATCAGTATTTGCACTTATGGGTTTACAAATTTACATGGGTGTGTTGACCCAAAAGTGCATAAAGCAATTTCCTATGGATGGTTCGTGGGGCGCGTTAACGGATGAGAATTGGGAACGATTTGTAAAAAACGATTGTGAGCCTTTCTTCACGAGATTACAAAATGTACTAAACTACTGTTTTAGCTAACTGGTTTGGTTCGGAGAATGCCTATCCGTTATGTGGAAATTCGTCGGGCGCGGGCGGGTGTGATGAAGGATATATTTGCCTGCAGGGTTACGGTAAAAATCCCGATTATGGTTATACCAGTTTCGATTCCTTTGGTTGGGCTTTCCTTTCCGCTTTTCGTTTAATGACTCAGGATTTTTGGGAAAATTTATATCAACAGGTTACTATTACCATGAGTACAGAGTACATCTCCACCAATGTGTATATTTTAGGTTTTGAGATCGGCAGGACCTTGGCATATGTTGTTTTTTATTGTTATCATATTCTTAGGCTCGTTTTATTTAGTAAATTTAATCTTGGCCATAGTAGCGATGTCGTACGATGAGTTGCAGAAGAAAGCCGAAGAGGAAGAGGCGGCAGAGGAAGAGGCTATTAGGGTAGGTGCCGGAAGCTATCAAACTGATTGTATAACCGATTCCTGTAGGAAGCAGAAGAAGCGGCCAGGGCTAAACAGAACGCGTTAGATAACCCTCCTCCTCCACCTGCGACAACGGTCACCGACGCCGCGCAAGACATTGTGAAATCTCCTTCTGATTTTTCGTGTCATAGCTACGAACTGTTCGTGGGGCAAGAAAAAGGCCACGACGATAATAACAAGGAGAAGATGAGCATACGATCAGAAGGACTAGATTCCGTGAGTGAGCAGAGAAGAGTTCCTACTAATCCTTCCAAGATGCGGAAAGTCAGCGCTGTAAGTGTCCTGATACTTATTGAACCCCCTCTTGATTTAGAAAGGTTTTACGAATTAAAAAGTTACAAAAGTGAGTAAAAATAAAGATCATGACAGTTATAGTGTTTCGACTTTGTTTGTCTAATAATGAATATCATTTTCAATATAAGGCAAATATCGCGCACTTACCCTTTTTATTCACACTGTACTGGAATGCATACTCACAATTTATTTTTGAAAGTAGTATAGAAAATCCCTTTATTTTTATTTCAATTGTCCCTGGACGCATAACAGTTTCCAACGCCACCTAGGACGTGAAACTAGATCAATTAAGCTCTCCCAGGGATATCATTTGGGGAAGCATGGTATTTTAGATTACTACAATACCATTCTTCGCTTAAACCAAATATTAGATAACAACACCTCACGCATGTATAGACCATGTCACGTGTTCAGGCAAGTCTCAGTCTTCCTGGGTCGCCCTTCAATTTACGGCGAGGTTCACGAGGTAGCCACCAGTTCACGCTGCGCCAAAACCGGCGCATGGTGGCACCCCCTGGTGATCGGAAACCTTTGGTATTGTCCACGTACCTTGATGCCCAGGAACACCTGCCTTATGCCGACGACTCCAATGCCGTCACCCCTATGAGTGAAGAAAATGGTGCTATGGTTGTTCCCATGTATTACGCTAACTTAGGTAAGGTAGCTTCACTAACTTTCTTCTTACTTTACGTCGCCTTCAAACAGGTTCACGTCATTCATCGTTTACATCACATATGTCGCGCATGTCTTACACGTCACACGGAGACCTACTGGGAGGATTGAGCGGAAATGGCAAAGTTATGACGAAGGAAAGTCAACTGCGATCTAGATCTATGAGAAATACACCAATGGCTACCACAAACTATGCCGAATTTAACCATAAACCTCATCGGGGAGACTACGTGAGTAACAGTTAGATTCTATACGCATATGCACGCAATTTCTTGCACTCATCTTAATAGGATTCGTTTGCGGCGACGACGCTAGGGTGGAGTGAGGGTGATTATTAAAAAATTTCAAAAAAAATATTTATATTGTCTACCTATTTTTTTTTTAATATCAAGGGGGTTGATCTTCCCTTCTTTCAAATAAAATTTCAACTTTTCAAAGATGAACTCGAAATTTTTTGATCTGGTCCACGACTAAAGTAACGTACTTACTGAAAATGTCTGCTTTTCTATTTTTCTGAAAATTAAATTGCACGAAATTACATACAAAATAACCGTACACTTATGGATATATTGATGTAGAAATTAAATAATGAAGTAGTTCCAATTTACACTTCTCTCTATAGCTTTTCCTATTTACAGCTTTAGCTAGTAATTCAACCTAGCTAGAGTAATTTTCGTGGCCACAGTCTATGTAAATATGCTAACACAATATGAAAAATTTTCCTGCAAGACACACATTATAATTAACCAGATTAAACCCATTCATTTGGAAAATTCCCAAAACAAGTTTTAATAAAAAACTAAATTTTTTATATCAAATCCAAATCAAATAAGTTTAAACCAAAAATCGGTTATAAGTTACGACGATTTTCTTAAAGATATACAACCCTTAATTTTTACATAAATAAAATAACAGTATCTCATATGAAAAATGTCCTTCTACAGATGACAATGATATAGACTGGCACAACGGTAATGATTCGAGAAAATTAAACAATTCGAACTGTACGTTGGAACTTTTGGTTCGGAAAACTTCTGAACTAATCCCTATGTTTATGTATTGCGGCAAACAAGACTTTTAACCACCACAGAAGTGCAAGACTAGCTTTTTTTAAGTTCTATTTGTTTTTTGTATTAACTTAAAAGAACCTCGTACACTTTTGTTCATATTTTTTCCAATGCACATGCTTAAGACCGGTTAATTTTTGTTACGAAAATTTGATATTGTTGCATATACGTCGGGATAACTGTAGACAACAATCCTTTTTATAAAAAAAAAATTAATTGACGGTAAAACTGGCACGTTAGCAGGGCCGAAGCCAGAGAGGGGCAAGAGCGCTCTTCTTGGAACCCACGTTGCTCGCTTTTGAAAATTGCTTAATATGACGCAGTTTAGCATGATGATCAAATATGAAGAAATATGCTTGGAATTGGGAATTATGTCAACTATTAAAATTGAACAATTTCACGTTTGTGTATGAATTACTTTCTTTGTACAGGATGGCCAAATTTGGTTGTTGGTATGGACATTGAATAATATTCAATTCAACTCTTTAACTATAAGCAGCTAATAGAATAAAAATGGCCTCACAGTTTCGGTGTATTTTTTTGATATAAACTCAATGTTGAAAACCAAACTGACATACACTCTTTTATTTTTGGCTTATTGGCAGAAGTTGCATTTTTCGATTTTTAGATAAAATCCTATGATTTTTTTTGTTTATTTTATTGGAAATGTGTTTATTACAAATGATTGTTGCAGAATCTACCGTTTTCAAAATAAGTATACGGGGTCATTTAAAAAATTATCGGACCTAAGCACCTTTTTTAAAGAAAACACCCTGTATATTTTAATCTAAACAAACAGCATATTAAATACTTTTTTTTAAACTACAGCACACCATGGAGATTAAAAAAAAAGATTTAAGCAATTCAAAAAAATTCAACCAAAATTCAAACAGCTTGAAAAAATATTTTGAAAGATTAAACACAGTCCAAATGATCCTAAAAATATAGAATACAAAAACACAACATTTTTGATTTTTAAATATTTCTTTAATAACCTCTTTTTTTAATTGAATCCATTTAAAAAATGCGGTTAGACGTGCGATAACGTTTTTACCTGACCCCGTAAACTTATTACAAAAAACTGTTCTGCTAAACTCATTTCAGATAACTGTATTCTCCAAGAAAATCGGAGCTGTACAGGGGGTGGTACTTGTGCGGAATACGGCAAATTATTATTTCGTCCGCCCGCTCTTGCGAATAAATCTGGCTAGGGCCCTGCACGTTAGAATTAATTCATTTATAAGTGTAACCGCACGAACTCGGCTTTTAAATTTTCGTTACAAGAAAAATTCCCGTTTTCTGATGCACGAAAGACTGCAACTTTCACCCTGGTAAAAACTATTAACCTGAACCACACAGAGGATGCGCGAGTAATCTAGAACCGAATTCTTTTTATTTTTTGTCTTATGGGAGTCCAACGGTTAGCACTACCCTGACCCAGAACCGAATGTAGCAGAGCACCAATTTACTTTGAATGAATCTCGAAAAAATAAAAACACGTCGAACTGCACGGATGATCGCGCTGTTAGCCCAAAACCGAATGAATTCAAAACTATCTCTCTCTAGTTATTCCTAACTACTCTTTGTAACTAATCAACGCCTACAAAATTGCTTCTTATTAACGAAAACGGCCATCTTTAATCACTGCGTTTTCTTGTTTCCTCTCTACAACTTAAATGAGAGCTATGGTAATAAATCAATCCCGGTAACATTCCCCACTAATGAGACACAGAACATAAGCCTCGAATCCATTAAAAATGGTTTTCCTAGCAAATCTAACTGACTGCTTACCCACTTTCAACCACCCAACGTCGTTGCTGTTTCAGAGTTTCCTCAATTATTAAAAGTTAGTTTAGTTTGGCATGAAGATCTGCGAGTTAGATAATACATATGGCGCCTATCATTATGCTTGTTTTTAAATTAGAATTCTTTTGCTTCTGATTTCATGAAGTCAGTACAATTTTTATTTATAAAAACTTGGAATTAATTAATAAAGTGCCTCGAGTAGAAAACGTTTTAAACAAAACAGATTTATCACAGATATGTTTAGTTAGTTTACTCAAAGACCTAAGGTAAAAATAAAACTCAACGACCCTGTATTTTTCATTAGGATGGTCCAACGGGATTGTGTGAAACAAAATTGAAGCACTTGGATAATCCGTTCATTGACAGTAGCCAAAGACAAACATTTGTCGATATGAAAGGTACGTTGCCCTTAAACATTCTTTTTTGTATACGGTGATACGGAATTATTTTACACATTTCAAAATGTTCACAGATGTGATGGTTCTCAACGACATAATCGAGCAAGCAGCGGGACGCCAAAGTGAAACGAGTGATCATGGAGGTAAACATTTTTCTTAATTAACCCTTCCCTTTTACACATACGCCATCGCAATTTGCTTAAGTTAGAGCTAAAACCTAGCAACTGCACCTTAGTGTTATATGGTTGCTGGTTGATAATAACGTTAATTTAGTAAAAGTAATATGTATCGGTAGTGTAGATATTGTAATGTAAGTTTAAGAAGTCTTCACGCCAGCTTCTTGAAGCAAAATTGTAATAAGTAAAAATTGACCTGTATTCGTTGTCACCTTAATGGACACACTGTCTACCCATAGTTTTACCTAATCCCACCCTTGTTCTTAACCGATTTCAATGAAACAAGCAATTACGATGGTGTTAGCCAATTTGCGATATTGCTGATGTAACGTTTACAGACGGTTACTTGCACAGCAAAATCGTAACACAGCAACAGAAGTGTTGAAATTAAACCAGCTTAACCTACGGTTAAGAACGGCTGTTGTTGCACCGCTGCCACTTGCACAAAACCTCTTTTCCCAAAAAAGAGTGTGTCAACTTCACTTTTACTAATACTTCGTACAGTTTCTGTGTATTATTTCTCAGCGAACGACGATGAAGAGGACGAACCAACAGTCAAAGAACGTTTGCTGGCTACAACAATGAAAATGATAGATTTATTATGCGTTTGGGACTGTTGCTGGCCATGGCTGACGTTTCAAAAATATGTATCGCTCTTAGTTTTCGACCCATTCGTGGAATTGTTTATAACCCTATGCATTGTTGTTAATACACTTTTTATGGCGCTCGACCATCACAATATGGATAAGCAACTCGAAAAGGCTCTTAAAAGTGGAAACTATGTAAGTTAACATTCTCTTTGTTCTACTTTAGTAAAGCTTGCCTTAGTTTTTTACGGCAACGTTCGGAATTGAAGCGTCTTTAAAACTAATAGCGATGAGTCCAAAGTACTACTTCCAGGAAGGCTGGAATATTTTCGACTTTATTATCGTGTTTCTATCTCTTCTTGAGCTTGGTTTGGAAGGCGTTCAGGGACTATCCGTTTTACGATCGTTTCGTTTGGTAATTACCCGGCAGTTTTTACCATATTATAAACAACATACTTTTCAGTTGAGGGTTTTCAAATTGGCCAAATCGTGGCCGACGTTAAATTTACTCATTTCCATTATGGGTAAAACGATGGGTGCTTTAGGTAATCTAACGTTTGTGTTATGCATTATAATATTTATATTCGCCGTAATGGGTATGCAGTTGTTCGGAAAAAATTATACAGGTAATGGTACTCCTCGGAAATGTTAAGGTAATTTTGAATTTTAGACAACGTTGACCGATTTTCTGATCATGCGGTACCGAGATGGAATTTCATAGATTTTATGCACTCATTTATGATTGTGTTTCGAGTACTATGCGGCGAGTGGATAGAATCTATGTGGGACTGTATGTTAGTCGGTGACGTATCGTGTATTCCATTCTTCCTTGCAACAGTTGTGATTGGTAATCTTGTGGTACGTATATTGAGAACACTACTGTCTGAGGACGCTCATGTATGCAATCGAAACGCCAAATTCAGAGAAACCTTACCAGGGTTGTGAGCATGCGCTCTTGTTGTATGTACATTCCTTACCATGAGTAAGTCCTGACATGGTTTGAAGAAAATAATATTTTCTTTCCCATTTGACTAAAACATTTTCCGGAAACAATGGAATGTCCCTCGGTTCACGGTAATACTAGGTCCTTAGGAAATTATTCACTTAGGACCTTAGGACCAACATTATCGAAATTTCGCGTTCACCTTTATCTACCAATTTGAGAATTCAAAATTCTTTTCTTCAAACCATCTACTATAACAATGGCGTGGCGCTCCGATTGCGAACAGAAACTAGCCCAGACATCCTATTATGTTGGGAGTTAGTAAAAGCCTAAATGTGTTCTATGTAACAGGTTTTGAATCTATTCTTGGCCTTGCTTTTGAGCAACTTCGGTTCGGCAAATCTATCTCCAACCACGGCAGACAACGACACAAATAAAATAGCGGAAGCGTTTGTTCGCATTGGACGATTTAGTGCATGGGTGAAAAGTAGTATATTGCATATTTTAAAACTGATCCGGTTCAAACTCACCAATCAGATATCTGACCAGCCGCCAGGTGAGGGACCGTCCAACAGTTGGAACCAAGGTTTTTATCCAATCTGATCGCTTGCTGGATTTGCTTGCTGATCAGTTGTAACGCTTTTTAGGGATATATTATGTTTGCACGATTTTAAATAAAAGCAGTACTATGTTGCTTGACTAATTTGGCCGTTATTATTGAATATCAGATTGGCAATTGTTTTTTTTATGTTTTTTTTTTGTAGGTACGTATATGTTTTTCTGAAAGATTATCGAAATTCATAGTCGCTCCATCAAAGCCTCCGGGCGCTATCGAATTTTGATGATCGGTTACTGAATTTACATGTATTTTGTAGGTATGCACACAAGCTGCGCTTATCAAAGTTGTAGTGTTGATTCTTGGGGTTTGTTTTAACTATATATTATTTTTGGTTAGTTGCAAGCATTTTCAATATGTAGTCGTTTATTCCAACTGTTCATAAATAACAATTGTAAAAACTAAATTGATTTGGTTTTTTGAGCGTTGAAAGTACAAGTTGTGCTTTGTAGATACAAGAGACGGGGTTTTAGAATTGTCTCGCGATGAAATATTGGCCGACGGTATCATTTTTCGCGATAAGAAAAGCCCAAAGGATAGATTAGAGGTTACAATTGGAGATGGTATGGAATTCACGATACACGGTAATAGATTTCTCTGAATGGGCAGTTATAATTTTAGAAAATTTCTAGGCGATTCAAAAACAAACCTGAAACGCGGTAAAAATAGTTTAAACAAAAGCAAAACTATCGGTAACTCCATTCTAGAACATGGCGATTTCATAAGCCACTTAGACGATGACCAAATTAGCAACAAGTCATACGGTAGCCATAAGAATAGGTTTAAAGACGAAAGCCATAAGGGAAGCGCGAACACACTAGACCCAGACGAACATGAAGAAAAGCGCGACGCGAGCAAAGAAGAACTGGGAATTGAAGATGGTACTTACCATTTTCCAAACTAAGCTTATAACGTCCGTTTTGTTTAGATGAAGAAGAGTGCGACTGCCAACGTCCATTAGATGAAGATCTGGTAGATGCAGCAACGGACGATGTTATTATGCAAGATTACGCATCCGATTGCTTTCCTGAATCATGTTACAAAAAGTTTCCATTACTCGCCGGTGATGACGATTCGCCCTTCTGGCAGGGCTGGGCTAATCTTCGTTTTAAAACGTATCAGTTAATAGAAAATAAATATTTTGAAACGGCAGTTATTACCATGATTCTGTTAAGTAGTTTAGCCCTAGCCTTAGAAGACGTATATTTACCTCAACGCCCAATTTTACAAGACATCCTCTATTATATGGATAGAATATTTACCGTAATATTTACTTTTGAAATGTTAATTAAATGGCTGGCCCTTGGATTTCAAAAGTACTTCACGAACGCGTGGTGCTGGTTAGACTTTGTTATTGTAATGGTAGGTGGCAACGGAATGGAAGAGTGGGAAATTTACTGTGTGTTGCAGGTATCGTTGATAAATTTTATAGCATCTCTGTGTGGAGCTGGAGGAATACAAGCTTTTAAAACCATGAGAACGTTAAGAGCACTTCGTCCATTGAGAGCGATGTCCCGGATGCAGGGGATGAGGGTAGTCGTAAATGCCCTGGTGCAAGCAATTCCGTCTATCTTCAATGTATTGTTAGTGTGTTTGATATTTTGGTTAATTTTTGCAATTATGGGCGTCCAGTTATTTGCGGGGAAATACTTCAAGGTAATTTTACTGTTACAGCCTACATGTAATGCAATGACCATTACAGTGTGTTGATCAAAACAAATCAACGTTGAGTTATGAGATCATTCCTGACCGTAACGCGTGTGACACCGAAAATTACACGTGGGAAAATTCGCGGATGAACTTTGACCATGTTGGAAAGGCATATCTGTGCTTATTTCAAGTTGCAACGTTTAAGGGTTGGATACAAATTATGAACGACGCAATCGATTCGCGTGAGGTATGTTACCGGAGCCTCCTCCGATTAAATTCAATATTGTTTTCAGCAACAAGATAAGCAACCTAAACGAGAAACCAACATTTACATGTATCTGTACTTTGTATTTTTCATTATCTTTGGATCATTTTTTACGCTTAATCTGTTCATCGGTGTCATCATCGACAATTTCAACGAGCAAAAGAAAAGGGTATGTGCAAATCGAATGCGTGCTTAAAGTTATGGCTTGTGTTTAATAGGCTGGTGGATCTTTGGAAATATTTATGACGGAAGATCAGAAGAAGTATTACAACGCAATGAAAAAGATGGGATCTAAGAAACCCATGAAAGCTATTCCTAGACCTAAGGTATACTTTGTAGTAAGTTTGAGACCCATTTTGAAGGCTTGTTTTTCAGTGGAGACCACAAGCTATAGTTTTTGAAATTGTAACAAATAAGAAATTTGATATGATTATCATGTTGTTTATTGGGCTTAACATGTTGACGATGACGATGGATCATTATCAACAAGCACAAACGTTTACTGATATTTTGGATTGGCTCAATACAATATTTATTTGTATTTTCTCCACCGAGTGCCTCATGAAAATTTTTGCATTACGTTATCACTATTTTACCGAGCCTTGGAATCTATTCGATTCTGTCGTTGTTATATTCTCCATCCTGAGTATTTTACAACAAACAATCGTTCTTGCGTAACTAATACTGTTGCCTTTCAGGTCTTGTGCTCAGCGATATTATTGCTAAGTATTTCCTATCGCCAACGTTACTTCGTGTAGTACGAGTAGCAAAAGTGGGCCGAGTGTTGCGTCTAGTTAAAGGTGCTAAAGGCATTCGGACGTTATTATTTGCCTTAGCAATGTCATTGCCTGCATTATTCAACATATGTTTGTTACTCTTTCTCGTTATGTTCATTTTTGCTATATTCGGGATGTCGTTCTTCATGCACGTTAAAGAAAAGAGTGGCGTGGATGACGTCTACAATTTTAAAACATTTGGACAATCTATGATCTTACTTTTTCAGGTAACGTACATTTATGCTATTTCTTGTGTTGCTTAAGCAGGTCTTGAAAACCTCAACAGAAAGTCAATTTTTGAGGGGCAGGCTTTCACATATTCTAGTCATTACCTTCTGAATCCGAATCGGATGAGGTATGTTTTAGATCAAAATGTCTAAAATGTCAGAAATTGTCCCAAGTACAAGATAAACCGATTGTGTGCTTCAATTATTTGCACATTTAGGCACACTTCGAATTTTCATTTGCACTTTGGGTTGATGTCCTACACAAAATAATTGCTATTTTAGAATAACGAAATACTATGTGACCAAGTTTTGAACTTGTTTACTCATTATGTCCATGTAGCCAGCAGCGCAATATAGGTAGAGCTGATTTCGACAAAATGCTAATTAAAAGTACCTACTCATTAACGGCTAATTTAGCACCTGTCCCCTTTATTTCATATAATATAGAATATCTGCTAGCTACAGATGTAGACCGAGACTAAAGAGTAATTAGTGATTAATTTAGTGCCTTATTCACAGTGGATGTTTCGTTTGAAAAAATCAACTTTTTAAGGTTTGAAGTTATTAAAATTGACCATTAGTTTTAAAACACCCTGTAGAAAGCCGATCAAAATTTATATCATTCTCATGTAGCATCAAGCCAGTATTGTTAATTTTGAAAGACTTTTTTTCTTAATGCAAGTCAATGGAGTCATATGTCCCTAAAAAAAGCAGTCAAACGTCAAAAATTTTGAAAAATCTTGTATAACTTGAAAACCTTTGATTCTGAGTATAGAGAAACGACGTACAATTTTCATGTAGATTTCGAAAATGCGATAAAATACAGGGTGTTCTATTTGAAATCAGAAAGTTGCTATCCACATCCGGTAAGCGAAACATGATAATACTTATACGTTCAGTAGATCATTAAAAACTAAGTTTTCAGATTTAAATTATTGGGGGTCTGAATACTTTTAGGTAACGGTTTGCGTAAAACAGCCTGTATGTAACAAGTAAGGATGGTAGAGGGAACAACAAAAATTTTTCCAAAACGTTTAGCTTGAGGTGTTTCAAAATTGGCCTTACTATATGCTTCCGGATAAAATTAACGGCCGCGACTAGGTTTTTGGATATTCCCTTTTTGATTTTGTAAAAATGTTCCCCAAAATTCCTATCCCACAACGCCGCGAAAAAATCTTATCTCAATTAACTTTGATATGTGACAAAATCGGGGGTTGTTTTTAAGAAATTGGAAAAAAAACTGTAATACTTGACACAGCAACGAAAAGATTGTTAAATTCCATTATTCCGACCCGCAGAACATATATCATAAGAATAAAACCTTTTTTGAACGTCGCGTGTCGGTCTCTAAATACATAAAGAGTGCATCCACGAAATTTTATTATATTTGTGTATAGTCGGCCGAAGAATTGCCACTTAGAATTTTTTTAAATTTTTAATTTGTTATTTTCAACCCACAGATACCAAACATTTTTTCAAGATCAGTTTTTTGTGAAAAATTCACTCTTTATGTCCTATAAATCATCTATTTTTATTTGCCCAGCATTTTCATGCACCTCTTATTAGTTTACACTGTAATTCCACCCCGTCATGTGTTATGGTACTGAAAAATTAATTAAAGAAACTATATCTTTGAGACTTCTGGGGGCTTAGTTCGCAAGCATGTTGGACCCTCGGTAAATTGCAAAAAATTGCTTATTTTTGTCCCTTCTATCGTGCAATTTTTTACATACTTAATTGGTAGGTACGCCCTGTAATTCATTCCTTGTTTGCTATTCTAACTTTTGACATTACGGCCTTATGGCTTCTAGTTTCAATCATTTTACAATCAAATTTTAATACGAATCGCAAAAATTGTTTATTTGCATATTTTGACAAATATCGACATCTCTACCAGACCTATCACATTCCATTTGTAAGTACACTCTTCCCCGAAATTCGGCCCCATCGATCAATCTCGTTTAGCCATACCACAAACCGACAGACACGCAGAATCAGATTAAGGATGTGATGATTCAAGTTACCATTAACATGTAACTTTTACTTCGTTTCTATCTGTTGTTTTTTTTTAATAATGATATTTTATTGTGGGATTCTTACACTACATAGAACAATAAAGCGCATGTATAATATCATTTACCCAAAATTGTCATGAAACCTTCCTTTTCATTCGTACTTTATGTCAGGAAATTTTAATTGCCATGACAGCGGAAGTGAAACTTTACCATACGACTTTTACTGCCGCCTGTCACTTTACCGGCGGCTCTTGTCACATTGGTAACGTCGATAATGACTCCTGTCATCACTGACGTAGTAACATTAATCAAATGTTCTGTATGAAAATTAAAATTTTATATTACAATACGATTTAGGGTAAAAGTCAAATGACACTACTTGATCCTAAAATTAAAATACTTGGTCGGAAAGGGGCTCGTACTTCTATATTTCGTGCGAAACAAATTAAAAGTGAAGAGGTTCAATAATACATCGAGTACGGGCACTAAATGTACATTATTGCACACTAATTACGTTTCGTTCTACCGGGCGTAGAAACGTTGTTCTGCTCAGTATCAGTACATGTAGCTAGCAGAACACGATATGGGGTAATTCTACTTTTGTTGGTCACTCTTTAAGTATTTGTCTGCTAAGTATATTGCAGAACATTAATAATTATGAAAATAAAACAAAATATGGTACCTACTAAATTAGCACTTAATTAGCTTTGAATCCGATTACTCTTGTGCTACCTTTACTTAGAGTGTTGGCCCGATACGTACCAATGTAGGGTACTAAATTAGTAAGTGCTTAATTATACAGGGTGTCTCTCGACGAATTCCTACTATTTATATTTCCAAAAGAATTCCGAATATTTTAAGAATTTGGCAATGTTCTAATGTCGATAAGAGGTGGCACTTCCAGTTATACCGGAAATGGATACCAACTTGCTTGTTTTAAATGGAACACACTGTATATTTTTTTTGTTTTAGTTTTTATGTCAAATTCTATATAGGTATACATGTCGTTTTTGACTAATTTTAATATTATATATGACGTTTGCAACCCAAATCATGATTGCCTTTTTTATATATGCTATTATTATTTAACCAGTTGAGCCCGGAAGCAGGAAATGTGCATATCTAATCTTATGTGAAAACAAAAGTTATCCACGTTAAAAGTATTCCAGACATAGCACAAACACACATTATTGCCTGTATATGCATTTGATTGGGGGTGGTTTCTATTTAGAACAGGTTCTGATTTCGTAGATTATTGTTTTCATATTTTGATATAAATAAATACCGGGGAATCAAACCCCAAAAATGAATTGTAACAAACTAATGTTAAATTGAAATTCCTCATTTTTATAATTGCGTATTATTAAACAACAAAAAATAAAGAGAACTTTCGTTTTCGAAATATTGGTTATTTAATACATTTTCTATTGTAACAATTTTAAAAGTACTGTTTTACAAATGTTTATTAATTGGGCATGACTCAGCTACGAAAAAAAACGAATATTTTCTTTCCATTTGAGAATAATTAATAATAATCATGTCGATTAAATTATATACACACGAATATCATTTAAATCCGTTTACCCATATTTTTTGTGCTTCACAAACCACAGATATAAAAATAGGGGTATTCTTTTAATTTTTAATTTGTATTTACTTATGATCAAAATAAAACACAGTCCATCAAATCGTAACCCCTTCTAAAAGGAAACCAGCCCCAATGAAATAATAACAGCTCTCATGTACAAAAAAATGCAATTATTATTTGGGCTACACGTCATTTTTAATTAAAAAAAAATTAAATACGTATGTCAAAAACGGTTAAATAACAGAGCAGTATACATAAGATGTATATTTAATTTTACATAGTACAGTAGAACCTCAACATGGGGGAGACGTATCTCGGATAACCGAAAAGCGGAAGCATTAGTCGCATATCTACATACATATGTAAGTCAGAAATGGGCAACTCGTTCGGCTCGGATAGAGCGGACGCTTCCAAGTTAGGACGGAAGATCGGATAATGGGGGCTCGGATAATCGGGGCTTTGCTGTATCTGAAAATGATACGATATAAATAAGCAAGTTGGCACTAACTTCCGGTGTAACCGAAAGTGTCACCAACTAATATTTTGGTAAAATTCTTAATGGCGTTAGTATATTTTTAAAATATTTTACCGACATGAGTCGCGGTACATCCATCCATATTCGCGATTTGAGTGCCACCAAGAGAACCAAAACGAAATTAAGTATAACCAGTTGTTGTCAAGTGAACTTGGCTTTTTTTAATTTTCTTTTATAGACGGGTTCAAATAACTTAGTACTTAATCTTGGGATAGAGGGGAAGGGGGTTGATTAGCTCAAATTCATGTGTGCAAGCAAAAATGAAAGTTTGCCCAAATGTGCAAACAGTTTGTACAGGCTCAATTGCTCACAATCGGTAAATTGCGCAGCAGTATTGTGGTCAATGCAATGCAAGAAAAAGACGACAGGTTTCATCTCAGTGTATCACTTGTGGAGTCTTATGGTGCTTTCTTACGAAACTCACGATCGCGCTCCTCTGATTCAAAATGCATCTTACAAATTATGTACTTATAAATTGGTTATTCATAAACGGTTGCAGTAGCGAAGAGTTTATCATCTATAGATTGTTTCTTTGCTTTTTGATTTTAACATCATTTTGAATTAGAGTATAACGCGATTATGATTTTCATAATACCGTACGACCATAATGCTCCACTTGTAGAAATTCGTAAGGTTGCCGTCTCTATTACACGGTATCGACCAGAAATTGGATTCACTTTGTGCTTATATTAAAGATAGGGAGTCCATACAGCGTGATTACAATTTAATACAATACAATAATTGTAGGTAAAACTAGATAACTGAAATAGAGAAACGTAGATTTGTTGCTAATTATCAGTGCAAAAAATGATTTAGATTTCAACTGAAGAAACTACATAATCCTTAACGTTTGAGCACTATATTTAATAGTTAAGTATTTGCTCAAAAATCATCTGGGGTTTACTTGAGGTTGAGGTTCAAAAACGGTGGAATGGATTTCTTGTTCTATAGAAAGTGAGCCAGAACAGTGGAACCATACAATTTGTTCACTGCACGCGCGCTATAGTTGACGCCTGTAGGGTTCCACTTGCTGTAGTTAATTGAAGATGCACGCACGCACTACGGAAAGAGCAAATTGTATGGATCACTACCAGTATCCCCCAGAAGGTGTTTTCCAAAAGACAAATTACGACTACTAATCTGTTCTAAATAAAGTTTTTATTTCAGATGTCAACCTCTGCTGGCTGGGACGGTGTTTTGGACGGTATAATAAATGAAGAGGAGTGTAAAGAACCAAATTTGGAAATCGGCGAGACGGGAAATTGCGGGAATTCGACGATCGGAATAGCATTTTTGCTTAGTTATCTAGTGATATCGTTTCTAATTGTTATAAACATGTACATCGCCGTTATCTTGGAAAATTATTCTCAAGCGACGGAAGAAGTTCAGGAAGGTTTAACGGACGACGACTACGATATGTATTACGAAATATGGCAGCAGTTTGATCCCGAGGGAACGCAATATATTCGCTACGATCAACTGTCCGAATTTCTCGATGTGCTTGAGCCCCCACTTCAGATTCACAAACCGAATAAATATAAAATTGTATCTATGGATATTCCAATTTGTACAGGCGATATGATGTATTGTGTAGATATTTTAGATGCGCTTACAAAAGATTTCTTTGCGCGAAAGGGCAATGCTATAGAAGAATCGGCAGAACTGAACGAAGTACAAGCGAAACCCGTTATCCCTGGTTACGAAACCGTAAGTTCGACGTTATGGCGACAGCGAGAAGAGTATTGCGCTAGATTAATACAAAACGCTTGGCGAAAGCATAAGCGTCAACGATGTGGTGCATCGGAACAATCAGACAAAGGTGACGCTGATGGAGATGGGGAATTGGAAGGTAGACAAACAGCTGTATTGGTGCAAAGTGATGGGTTTATGACTAAGAATGGTCATAAAGTAGTGCTCCACAGTCGTACACCGAGCCTTAGTTCACGATCTGCAGATGTATGAGACTGGCCCCGTCCCTCCCCGGCCGAGCATTAAAAAATTGCTACAACAGGCTGGTTGTATCGTGCGTTATTTTATTTCAGCTGTTCAGCAAATTTCTTGAAAATGCATACATCGAATTCTAAAAAAAATAACTTAGGTATCCGAACGGAGATTATTTGTGTGTGACCTTAGTAGAAATACAGCTGAGATAAAATGTATGGCTGTTGAATGGACCTGTGCTGTGTAGTTTGATGGAGAAGATACCTTTCACTTACTATCAACTGCTTTAACTGCTCATATTGCTATTCATATTAATGATAAGTGTACAAACTATTATGCAGTAACTAAAATTAATAGTTTTATGAACAGTGCGTACGTGCCGTACACGCGCCAACTAGGTATTTATAAAATTCCAAAATATATCTGCCACTACTTAAATAAACGCTTATGTCCCAGCATAAGTCGACATTTTACGTAAAGGCAAATGGGAAGTCTAAAAAAATCTAGTTATCGAATTGAAGTCAGTTGATAAAAGAAAACAAACAATTTTTACGTTCATATCTTCCAAGTTTCTATCGATTTTTCAAACATTTAAACTATATACAATGCGTTGCTTCGTTTTTACTTTATTGCAGATTATCACCATTTTTCGATATCATCTCCCCATGGGAAGGTTCAAAAATTGACCCCACCCCAAAAGAGCAATTCATCTTTTGTCACACCATATCGCTTACGCGCTTTTGCATTACTACGTGTCCAACAGTTTTCCATACATTCTGCAATATCGTCTAAAATACCCTTAATCAATTTGCATTCTGTATATACTTTAAATGCTAATTTTTTACAAATCCACTGATATAACGCTGCATTTGACAACTAAAGTGCAGCAAGCCTTCATGTTGATAAAATGGAAGCATCAGTTCCCAAGTTGCTTCCATATTCTTAGTTCAATAACTTCCAGCCATAGTATGTGAAAAGTGTACTCATTTTGCCAATTTCGGATAATTTTTACTATACAATATGTAAGTAAAGAAATGCACAAACGCAAAACTTTATACTTTTCGAGATATGGCCCAACATTACTGTAAATGGAACCAAATAATTTGATAGTAGACAATTTAAAAATCAAATCGTCGAGTTAATTATAAAGATTATGGTGCTTTTTCAATTTGCTATTCTTCAAGCTGTCTTCACATGCTACATGGACCGCAATTGGGGGAGGGGCGAACGGGCATTTGCTAAAATACACGGATTTTGTATGCCTCATAAGACACTATATATTGTAAGTTTGTATGCGTGACATTTTTTCGGCACTACTTTTAAAATACTTACGGCACATGTGTTTTATATTTATAAAAAAATTGTATGAGCTTATTATGACAAATTTGCTTAATTACACTCATTTATAAAGATAAAATCGTGAAACTAAACGAACACTCCTGTTGAGACTAAATGTATTAGTTTGCTTACACGATTTCGTAATTAGATTATCAAAACGGCCACATGCGTTGCCATTTATCGTCGCACATCGGCATGAAAAATGTCACTCATACCACTACGCAAATTTTGATTCTAACAAAAGATCAGCGCATAGATGTAGTTGATTGATTGTCATTATATGTTTAAATACGTGCTGTTACAATATCATTCTGTTACGCGATTATTACTAATATATTATTGTTACACATTTATAAAAAAAACATTAAAAGTCCAGAGTTGTGTCTGTACTCGCTCTTAGTTTCTGTTGAGAGCAAACATTCTGAAACATCGACCGATATTCCCAATCGGCCGAAGTTTCAGACATTTTTACTATGAAAAAACCTGCTGGTTTCAGGTTCGGTTTGCTAGCAGTGCTGGTAAAGACACGATTTTGGGACTAGAATGTAAAGTGATAAATAATTATATTTATGCGGCCAATTGCTACAAATAGTTATTGTTTTAAAAAATCACCGCTTGGATATGGTTGCAAAACAGTTCAAAAAACGATTGCGTCTTCGGTGGAAAAGCAACTGTTGTGCGAGTGTGTCGCATTTTAATACCAAATAAGCTATACACAAAATTATTGAACAACAGGCACCATTATTGTTTCAATATCCTGCCGTTTGTTACATCTACCATCATCTTTGACTTTTTTGTGGCTCGTCCTAATGAATTTATTATTATAGTCAAATTCGCCCGATGTTTTATTGGCAGAAAGTAATTGGACCTTAAACGCATTTGATATAGAAGCTTGCCCTCCAATTAATGTACGCGTCTCTTTAAATTTTCCAAATAAAATTTGTAAGAGCGTAAATAATTTAAACCAACCAATATTTTTTTACCAAGCATATACGCACTATTATGCCCTCGTGGAAAATTTAAAATGAACGCTTACAATGTATTTAAAAAAAAGTGCGTCCAAAAATGTGGTGCGAGGGTAGCGTTCGCCTACATTATTTTTTTGCAAAACGTCTTTTATACCTATGTATTCGAATAAAACATTTTAGATAGGTCAAGACTGAGTACGCATATTTCAGTCAAAACTGTATGCACAATAAATGACAATTTCAATCCCTCTAAAGTGATTACTAAATTCATTAGACAACACACAAAAAAGGGCATGCATTTTGCACATGACTGTAAACATGCTTTTTTTGCATATGAAAGCAATGTTAATGTACGCAGCCATATATGTATGTATTGTTGAATATACATATAAATATGCCACAAATACATTTGGACAACTCATTAATGTAATATAATAATCATAGTATTACAACATATATACATACATAATTTTTCTAAGCAATCGTTGTTTTAGGATAGCTATGGTATGTTAAGATTTAGTTCGTAAGCTTGGCGAAAAGTTAAGGCGATGAATCTCGATTTTAAGTCACAACATTATTATATACAACCACCGAAATATTGAATTCCTTTTGAAATTAGCTTGTTTTTAATCAAAACATGCTGTGTTGAAAAAGAGGTAAAAACCACTTTATTCTACAAAAAGAGCTTTATATTTCAATTAAAAATAAAACCATTTGAAATATGCCATTTTTATCGACAAACCTCTCCTATATTCCATTTTTTACGCAACTATACCATGGAAGATTACGTGTAGAACTCCGGTCACTTAAATACGGAGTGAATTAGCTTGACATAAACAATAATAAATACATACATCATCAAATCAAATGTAATTTGTTAAAATAAACATTTGTTGATATTCTTATTATTGTTAATTTTGATCATGGTATCTGTAAATATACTAAAACGTTATAAAAATGACTCCACTTCAAAAGTGAATTGTACCTAAATGTTTCATTCAAACCATACGGAAGAACAATAATAATAATAATGATATCTGAAATCTTCCCTACTCTTTTGTCCTTTTTTCCAGGTTATGCACACATGCCTCATATAGATAATATGAAGATTCCAGAAGACACCCCAAAGAGTTGCAAGCGCCGAGACCATAGTGATTCGGTTCTTGCTTGTCAAAAGAGTGGGCGGTGGCGATTTTTCCAAAGTAAACCAAATCTCTCGTACAATCTATGGCTTAAGCGGAGATATAAAGACAATTAAAAACGATGGCCTTCTGATAGAAGCGGCGAGCAATAGACAAGCAATGAAAAAAAGATTCTACGAATTCGAAGTCGCGGTGCAACCACGTGGTACGTTGTACCATTGTAACGTGAGCGAAATTAGAGAAGCCATGCCGGAACAAGGTGGAATGGACGTTAAAAGAGAAGGGCGATATATTGCAGCCCTTTCCCAGATCCTCACATTTATTTCACCTAAAATTCCAAAAAAATAAATGTATGAATTGCGCAGGCGACCATCTGTTTAATTCGAAAAAGTGTTCAGGATATAAAAATAAAGTAGATATTCAAAGGCTCAGAGTAACAAAGGGATTATCATATCTAGAAGCTAAAAATAAAGTAATCGCACACACTCCTGTAATTGAAAAAACATATACCAAACGATACAGTTTAAAAAAACGTGTGTAACACTAAAAATTCAAATTCTCAAGTCATTAACACTACGTACGGTAGTTCATTGAATCTAAGATGCCACTTAAAATTCTGAAGACGCTTATATTATAGGATATATAGAGTTACGTATTAAAATTTTTCAAAGTTCCGCATGTAAAAAAAATCGCCGCTAAGCGCAGAAAATTAAATTACTACAGACTACTAGTCTGTTAATTTTCTTTCACAGGGGTCGATACCAAAATTAGTGCAGTGCAATTTTTGGTAAAATGTGGACGCTCAGTTCACATCATGTACGATAGATGTGCGAACGGCGTATTATTAACGAGCTTCTAGGGAGTCATATTTTCCGGTGTTTGTCCGTCTGTCCGTTAGCACGATTTCTCGATAACGAATGAACCGATTACGATTAAATTTTGCAGGTAGGCCACAAAATACGGAAGGCTCATCTACGTTAGTTCTAAATTGAATTGCATGAAATTCAAAATGAGCATAGCTTCAGCCATATAATAAAAAATTTAAAAAAACTAGTAAGGCTTCTTACACCCCAACAGTATCATATTTTTTTATTTTTTTGTAGGTGAAAGTTTGTATCATTTTTTAGTTGAATGTTATTGTTAGGTTATACTTATTATTCAGCAACGCTTAATTATGGAGAATAGATCCCTGCTACGTAATTAGGGCTGTGCCCTGTGTAGTTTGTAACAATAAATAAATACGCAATGTCAAGCTATAGCCAGGGGCTCGTTTGCTATATTTGTTTAATTTATTTAATTTATACCCTGCGATATCATTTTTGTTTCTCGCTTTTTTTATTATCTTTAAAATTCAAAATCCTGTTTCAATTCCCAAATTAATTAATGGTAGCGACCACAATACGTCCAATACTGAATACTGTCATTGTCAGTCACCTTAAGAACGGAAGGAACGATTCCATTGTTTCTTAGCAGTCTGATTCGTATAAAAAAATCTGTTTCCTTCACAAAGCAAGTATGGCCATGAACTCATAGTCATACTCATCAATATCATAGATGAATTGTATTTCCTCTATGTCAATATGAAGAGAACTGATCAATGATGCGAAAACTATTCTAAGAATCACTGAAATGGATCTTACATTACCAGGTCTAGATACACTGAAAATATTAAATATTGTTGTGTGGTACCTCCCACAAACACGAAGGTGAACTAAAATTGTCATTGAACCTCCAATTGCTTTTAATATGCATTATTTGCCCTTTCACTGATAAATATATACCAATTAAACTCAATACACCCATGCATAAAAAAGAATAAATCCTACCTGTATAATGGTGCCCTTCTGGAATCTGTAACAAAGATTTACGTTAAAAAAATAGTGAAAAAGGCAACACTGCCAAATTATATTTACAATTAATCATAATAATGGCAAAGTATTTTAAAAGTTAAGCAAGCATAAATTTTGCAGTTGTCTAGATCGGATATTTAGCAATCTAGCAAAATTTGTATAATTTCTTTCAACAAGGTAAGGAGGGGATAAGGGATAAGACATTACTAGTGAAAGGTATTCACCATATACCTACAGGTACACTAGTTAAATCGTAAAAATTACCTTTTAGCCTTATAGGAAAAACCATCGCCCAAACACTGCGGTCTCCTCTCCATTGCCAGAACTGAAAAATAAAATATATTGGAATTAAATTAATTTCTTGACTAAGCGTTTGGATTCGCGTATAATGATAATGTTTCAATAACTAAACAACCTATTGATAGTTTTTGAAAAAAACCCGACAAACACATACCTAACGTTTATTTTACGTACCATTCTGTCACAAATATGTAGACATTGTTACGTTTTAAATGCAAATAAATAGCATTGGATACGCACAACAATAATGCATGCAACTGTATTTTATAGAAAGAATCACACGTATTTTTTTACAGTAACTATTACGTATATGTTACGTATTCGAAATGCAACCAATGTGATGTTTATTTACTAATGTATTAGATGCGTATAAATTACGTTGAGTAAAACGTTTGACAGATGTAAAATCAGTCAACCCGCGACATTACAGATACGTACATCTGATTTGTGGGATGTAAGTAATTATTCTTAGGCAACAAGGTAAAATAAAGTATACTAGAAGAATAAAATAATCTTTATCCAACTTTATTTAGTTTAGATGAATTCTGTAACTGTAACAAAAAAATTGCATTTAAACCAAAAGTTTAGGTAATACGATTCCGGTGCATACTTACTCTTCCAAGTATTCTTCTTTTTCTCCCACCACCACTGCAATGTCGATGAGTCTTATCTGATCTGCAACGAACAAATAAAATAAATACAAGAAAATATCAATCATTTACATTAAGTTACTATTTTTATTTGCCACACTCCTGAGAAACTTCGCTGTACTGCCCATCAAACTCCTGCTGCCGTTGGGTAAGATGGACACAGGGTAGGTACACATCTTATCCGTTTTCAAGTCTTGTAAGAGACGATGTCCCACACGCATACTGCGGAATTTTGCATTCTGTAATCAAAAAAGAATCCCGTTGCAGATATGTACCTACTTACACTGCGTATGTCGTTCCCTCCGATCATAAACTCATAATAATTACCTATACCCCGTGCTGCTCTGCCGCAGTGTTCTCAACACACATTCATGGAGCCGACCAATCGTTTGGCCGCCAATGGCCAGATCCACAAACAGTCTTCTGCGTTGAGAATGGTACTGTACTCACATGGTTTTCGACCCAACTGGGTAGTAGCTAGTCTTCGCAGATTTTAATCACCTCACAACGTGACTTCATTCTGAAATAAAATGAATCATTTTATGGCATGCTACTCTGGTATTTAGGGCCAATTCTAACACCTCCCCTACATAGACTTTCATATTTTATTTGTTTGTCTAAAACAACATTACCTTTTATAAAAAGTTGCTATCAATGGTCGATCAATGATATTCTTTGCAATAATTGCAATGATGAAACCAACGTCTGTATACTTGAAAAAATAAGTGATTATCGGATAATTGTGCCCTTTTCTCATTTATAAAAACGTACCGGAATCGGTTATACCGGCTCACACCTTGCAATTTTAAATGGGATTAAATATAAAGAATTGACCTTATACCAAAGAGTACCTAACCTTTACTTTTATACCTTATCTGTAAAATCTGTTTGCAGTTTTCAAAAATGCGATATCTTTATTTTTTTATAAACGCCATTTTTTTCTTGTGCAGCAATGGATTTTATACAGAAAAATGAAGGTTTTCAGTTATGTACACTACCCTCAGTGTTCAGTGTTGAAGTTTTCTCAATTCCACATCTGCGAAAATTACCGTGAATTCCTGAGCACACGGTATAAATTTTGGAACATGTTACATATTACGTGATGTCTTATTGACGCAAATCCTGAAAAAAAATGGCATGTCTTATGTGCTTTATATATAAAAGGAAATTTATTTAATAAAGGCGGATATTTTTAAAAAATTTGAAAAATCAAAATTAACCACAATTTTGTGTAAATTGGGGAAATGAGAAAAATTAGCGCAAGTGCGAGTCAAATCTCCAAAATACAACTGAAAGTCATATACATTTGAAAATGGTTTAGCCAAAACGGGCTTATTGAGTACCTATAGCTAATAAACGCGTAAGCTTTTGGCTTATGGTAAATAATGCCTTCCAATTTTTGTACTTCACATACATACTTCCCACATTTCTTCTAAGTCGTCTACATCACCTACGAGTACACAGAGACATATTTTACTGTGACAAATTACCTTTGACCTTTTCAAATCAAGTCAGACATAAAATAAATTTAACTAAGGAAACTTCTGTTTTTACCAAAAGTTACCGATGCCCCGAAGATAAATCTCAAATTCAAAAAAATGCTAGATCAAGGCATAATACAAGATACCTTATTCCAGCCCAATCTCGATACTACCAAAAACCAACTGGACGCGTCCGGTAAGCGCAATTGGCGTTTACTAATAGATTATCGGAAACTAACTGAAAGGGCAATCAACGACAAATACCCACTTCCCGATATTATCGATATTTTAGACAAACTCTGTAAAAGTT